CAAATTTGGGATTTACAACTACATATAAAACTGTAATAAGAGAAAAAAAAAATATAGTAAAAAGTCATGAAGAAAGATTACTGGAATATTTAAGAAATAAGGTATGATTGTAATAGATTAATATTTATTAATTTGAAATAACAATAATAATAATAATTTTTTTATTTATTAATTTGAAATAATAAAAATAATAATAATTTTTTTATTTATTAATTTGAAATAATAAAAATAATAATAATATTTTTTATCTATTTTAAAGCTTAATTTCCTTAATGTGTTGTTGATTGATGATTATCATGATATTCATCAAGCAAGAAACCCTATTGATACAAATTTATCCAATGTAGCTCATATGGCCACAATTATGATACATACTCCTGATATTCCACCAATTCCTTTTATCTCAACATTAGGTGAACCAATTCATAATCCTTTAAATGTTGATGCTGATTTACTAAGATGGGCTTTGAAATTTGATTATATTTCACGTTTGGGAATTAGCTATACAGAAAAAAAATTAACATGGTTCTGCATAAGTAACAATGTCAATCTTAATGAAGATGATAAGGATACCAGCTGCAACTTTTGATGATGGTTGCTACCATCTTTGCGTCATATAAAAACGATTGCAACCACTGGTTGCAACCACCTTTACAACCATTTTGTTTCCTTTTTTGGATTGCGACATGGAACACTAGAAGATGAATTAATTAATAATTTAACTGTTCATAGCTATGAACCAGAATTTCAAGAAGCTCATCCAGAAAAAAGAAAAATGGATTCTGTGAAACTTGTAGATTTTGTTCCCCAAGAATTAAAATCTTTAGATAATTATCTTCAAGCAATCACACCATTTATAGAATTACCCACAATGAGCAATTACTTATCAAATTATGTAGTGCCAGTGCCTGCAGATTACCCTGGACAATATTTTATTCGTAGAGCAATTACACTCAAAAGAAGATATGGTGATTCTATTAATATTTCTAATAACATTTTACATTTAGTTCCTATGTTAGGGCCACTTCATGTTTCTCTCAACACAAGAGAAACAATAGTTAAAATATATCATCCATTTTTTAATCTTTTATATAAAGAAACTTTTCAAAAAAAGAAAAACCTGCCAAAAAAACCACAGCCATGGATGATCAATCTTATTATTTATCTTGCATATTCAGGATGGATGATAATTAGAAAATCTGTTATGGAAAAATTCAAGTTTAGTAAAAATGTTGAATATCAAACATTTTTGGATTTATTGGACAATTGTATGCCAGCTGCATTAGATGTTTATGCTGTTCTATTCAGAGAAGGTCATTTTGAGCAATATATAGAAACAATTTTTCGGTTATGGACATTTATGAAAAAATTTGGCAGAAAAAACTATGATAAAATTATGTTAGCCTTTCTTTCAGATATTTTTTATTGGCAAACAATTGAACATCCAATGTATAATATCCTTCAAGATCATTTATCTGAATTTAATGAATATTTTGTAGAAAATTTTCATAGTTTGATCCGTCGAAGAACATCAGGAAAAAATTTTAACCCAGAAGGATTAAGAGATGATGCTATTAATATAGACAATAACAGACATGATTCTGAATTTATAAAACCATTTTTATTAACAAAGAAATATCCATATACAAAAAAAAAAAATTGATACAATGACAAAAAAATCTGCATTATTTCTCTTAGATTTCTTTCAAAAAATTTGGGCAAATTCAGATAACATTAATCCTCCATCAAAAGAGCAGAAAAATTATTTATTATCTACTTTTAATATTGAGGTTCAAATGGAAGCATTACCATCAGGATATCATACCTCAAATCCACCCAATAGTAGGATCTTTTGTGATTATGAACATTGCAATATTAAACAAAATGAAAATCAAAGTAATGATTGTGTATTGATATGTGGTCATGCATATCATTATGAATGTTTTCAAAAACTGGATTTTAGATGTCAATATTGTCTTGAATATTTTATAAATGGATTACAAGATTTAAGCAATTCATATAATGAAAGATTAGAAAATACAAGTGCATCAATACTTGAAGATGATTTAAATGAGGATGATTTAAATGTAGAAGTAAATGAAAATGAAGTAGATGATGTTTCTTTTAGTGATTTTGGTAATGACTTGAATATTGATAGAAGTTTAGATCAAAAATTAAATATGGCAATATACAATTTTCATCATTTTTAGTTAATAAAAATTATATTTATTTGATTTAGCCAATCAAAAATAATTAATTTTGCGTTACATTAATTCGTAATACTTTTAAAAATGAGTGATCTGCATCAATTTTAAATAAGGATTGGCGGGGATAATTACATTAATAAAATGCGTATATCTCAATAATCTCCAACCAATTTTCCAAAAAAAAAATAAAAATGACTAACCAACCCTTATTAAAAGTAAAATTAATATCACTAGGTTCAATTATTCCTCATTTACATTGTGGACCAAATTTACAGCACTGGTGGTCCCTACATAATGAAAAAAACTTGGAGGATGGTGTCTTATTATACCCTATACATGTTGGATGGCAAACAGTTTTAGAAACAAATAATAAACACTTTTACACTCAAGTCCAAGAAGGGAATGAAAATTATGAAAATCGACCTGGTTATAAGTGTCATATTGGTGCAAAATATAGTGATGTTGAAGAAAAGCCAAGTCCAGCAGTTAATTCTTTGTATAGACAAGTTTTTCCAGCAAGTAATACAAATTATTCTGGACCACAAGTACTGGGATGGACCAATTCTGAACTACTAGAGCAATCATTGACAGGGATTGAGTTTTGACCATTTTTGATAAAAATTGACAGATATAATATATATGTTACTGCTTTAGGATGTCCAGATGAAATTAGCAATTTTGGAGCTGGGATTGGGTATTCAGCAACATTTGTTGGTGAATATTTAGGTAAAGGGGCAACATATGTTCAAAGAATTGATGTAGATGGATGCCATATTGAAATTTTTCAAGACAATGAATTAAAAAAAGAGTATTTAGGAACAAGTCAAAAATTAAAAAAATTTCAAGGAACTCAACTTTTTGGACTGGAACATTTATTAACAAAGAAAATTTTGGCAGAGTTCAAAATCCCAAAATGTGATGCAAGGTTTTGGGAAAATATAAATATCATGAACCACCTTTATAATTACCATCTTCGACGCCAAACTAAATCTAACATCCAATGGCACCAGTTTTTCATAAGATGGAAAAATAATTCAAGCACAATAATAGAATTTAATTCTCTTTTAGCAGAACTTTACCCATCAGGATATACTTTCAAAGAACGTGAACTTAGAGCATGGAGAGCAATGCTTAAAGCAGCTAGTTGCCATAATGTAACTCCATTTGAAGATGATGAATCTAAGGTAATTTAATGAAGATAAGTTTAAATTCAATTTTTATTAAAATTAATAAATTTGAAAAAAAAAAAATATATAGTATCAATTTTGGAGTTGTTCACTAAATATATTACAAGATCAACAAACACTTTCTCAGTTGTATTCTCAGGGGTTTCTATCACCAACACCAATACATAAAAAAACTCCAATAGATGAAGAGCATATAAGCAAAAAATTTTGGGAATGTTTTGGAGAAGCACTAAATGAAAATAAAAAAGGACAAGATGGTTGTATTTGTGTGCTGTCAATAATTGCAAACAAATTTACCTATGCTGAATTGCAAGAAAAGCTTTGTGTAAGTAAATTGTCACATCATTAAAATTTTTGAAATTGTATTTATATTATTTACTTCTAATAATAATTAAAAAAAATACTTATGTTTTATGAAGCTTTCAGCAAACAGTGTGACCAGTGCCAGATTGTATGCTAAAACCAATGGTCCTGGTTGCCTTGCATTAAGCAAACCTGCAATCACTAAAGTAAAACTGTCAAAAGAATCACTGGATCAATTTATGACATTTTTACTTGATAAAAATAATACAACACCAAGTTCATATAAGGTAAATGAAGCAAGTGGCCTACCTGTAATGTATTTAAAAAACAATAAAGAATCATTGTGGCAGTGTTTTTTTGAATTATACCCAGATGGTATGAAAAGGACAGCTTTTATGACAAGATTAGAAGATAGCTGATTTGTATATTGTGAAGATCTTGGTGGCTTGTGTTTGACATGTAATGAATATGGATTTGGTGTTTTTGAAGAGATGAAATCACTTGTTCAAGAAAAAATTAATAGAAAAGATATCCAGGTTAGTGAATTGATGCTCAAATGATTTTAAAGAAATATTTTTAAATTTTGATTATTCATTATTAGAATGAATTAATAACTCAACTTGAAAAAACACTATGTCATTTGAATCGAGAATATGGAAATGAATTGATTATAGATGACCTTGGTAATGTGCAGCATGATAATTGTATTGAACATTGTTTAAACTTTGCATTTGGTGATTGCAATGAACATCATCCTATTAGTTGTGAAAATTGTAGTCAAATAGATCTTATTTTCCAAAAGATTCTACAATTTACTCCAAACGAAAAAAGCCAAATAATTGAACTCCAGGAAAAATTACAATATTTCTGGGCTCACCAAGTCAGGAAAACATATCTCAATGCACAATCTAAAGCTGCATTACTTCGTCTAGATAAGGATGGTGCTGTGATCATAGTTGACTACAAAATGAAGATTTTGCCTCAATCAGCACGAGAGGTGAAATCTGATTTTTTTGGAAAAAAAGGATATACTTTGCATACCTTACTAGTATATACAAGAAAATCTGATGATTCTACTTCATTGAATCTTGAGGTTTTAGATCATTGGTCATCTGACCCAACACAAGATGCTTGGTTCACAGCATCATCCTTTGATGGTTTATTTTCTACAATGGAAAAAAAACCTTTATGGATTGAAGTGTTGTCTGATAATGGTGCACATTATCATAATAAAGAGTTGATGATGATGATTAGTCAATGGAGTAAATGGTATAATATAAAAATAAGATCGTGGATTTTTTTGGAACCTGGTGAGGCAAAGACTACTGTTGATTCCCACCATGCACAAGTATGTTTATTTTATTAAAAAATTTTTACCTACGGTGCAGATCATCTATAATCATTATTGTGGTTTGCAAAATAGTTGATTTTTTGCAGATCTGTGTGACCCATGATTTTTTTAGAAAAATTTTATTGTCACGAATGATAAATATTATAAAAACTTTTAATTTTAATATTGTTTAATTTGGTTTTTTTATGAACTTTTCCTAATTAGACTCTATAATATAATCTATTGAAATCTCAAATGTGGTTGAATATAAAATA